AAGGCTCCCCTCCCCCCACCCCGAGTGGGCTTGCCAGGGCTGTGTTAGAGGTGGCTCTGGGCGAGCAGGGACGTTTGTCCTCCTGCCCCCGTGTCCCACGCGTGAGTGTGTACTCGCTGCTAAGTCACCCAGCTGTGTGCGCATAAGCTGTGTGCTTACGGTCCGTGTACTTTTAGCAGAACGTGTTAAAAGGAACGTTAACCGACAACGAGAAGTTTAGAAATGAAAAACAGTGATAACGGCTGGCATTTAATGCACCCGTGCTCTGTGCCAGGCCCCTGCTCCGGCTTTGTGGGTGTTCTCGGTTCTTACAACTGCCTTCTTAGATGGTCACCTCCACTTTGCAGGTGGAGAAAGCGAGGCTCGGGTGGTTGGCGGATACCCAGCTTCCCGGAAGTAGTGGGTGGCAGAGCCGGGGTTTGGGCCCAGGCGCCTGCCTCTGGAACTGCTCTCTCGCCCCAGCTCTCAGCCTCCCGGGAGCTGCTTACGGGAGAGAAGTGTCCCTTTGCTCTGAGCGCCACACACTTAATGCTTCTGCTTCAGCGTGAAGACGGTTGGGTCCTGTCTGGTCGGACCCTGGCGCCACTGTTCGTGAGCGTGTGACCCTCGGGCTCAGAGTAGAGAGACAGCTTGTCCGGGTTCCTAGGCGGACCTCTCCTCCTCGGGATGCTTGCGGGGATTATAGGCAGCCTCCACAGGGCCCGGCCGTGATTCCCGAGCCCCGGGGAGTGTGGCCTCCTCGCTCACCTGCTTCTTGGCCCTGCATGTGCATGTTGCGTACACGGGAACGGGCTTGTCCCCACCGGGGGCCCCCCCCCCCCCCGTCCAAACTGCACGTAAGGAGCCGTTCCTTGAGAGAATCGAACACTCAAGGTGCTTCGCGTGTCCTCTAAAGATAAATTATTCTCTTGTTTGATCTCACTGATGTGAAAGCAACTTGTTTAAGCCATGTAAGATACAACATTTTCCCTTACTACTCAGTAAATAAATAGAATTACCCAATTTTAGAGCTGGTGGGCTCTTGAATGCTCAATTAGGCCGTGCTGGCTTAGCTCCATGGAGACATTTGTATGCAGACGTTTGGGGCTGGAGCTGAGGGGCCCAGGCCTGGAGTTAGGGTGAGGCAGCCCTTGAGTGTGTGTGTGTGTGTGTGTGTGTGTGTGTGTGTGTGTGTGTGTGTGTTGTGTGGGGTGGTAGAACCAGGAATTCTGAGGTAGGGGACTCAGGGAGGGGTGGGGGGACTGTGGAAGCAGGATTTGGGGAGGGGCTGGGCCTGGAAGGAAGGGGGCACCGCCTGGAGGAAGTGCTGTTCTCACCTTTCCAGTCCGGCAGTCTCCCCCCCAAGGTAATTTGGCTTTGTGCCCCAGGGGTTCACCTGCTGTCAGCTCTCTAACTGTCCCTGCCCCCTTTCACTGTTAGAGCTTCCGACAACAGCTGCCAGCGAGCCCTGGCTGACGCACCTGGCAAGACCCGGCTCACCATCCAGGTTAGCGGCAGCTCTTAACGGCAGTGGGGTGCCCCTTGCCCAGCGCCTGCCTGGGGTGAGGGAGACCCAGGGAGGGTAGTGACCTAGTCACTGGGCAGCCGTGTCCTCGTGCCGTTTCCCGGGCACTCGGCTGAAGGGTGAGCATGTGTGAGTGCCAGGGTGGAGTCTTGGGGGTGATGGCTTGCAGGTGGGGCGTGTGCTGTGCTCGGGACAAGTCCATGGGTGTCGCCGGGCCTTTGCTGACGCTGAGCATCGCATGCTGAGGGCACAGAGCACGGTGAACCTAGCTGGCCACCCTAGGAGGAGGTCAGCTCTGAAGTAACTTTGTTTAAACACATCCTTCCTCTCGACACAATGTGTTCTGCCTTCGGAGTTAGACCTGAGAACTGGGATTTCTGGGATTCTGGGTCTTCTTTTTTTCGTTCGTCATTTGGGACATTTAAAGATCGTAAGCAGTTGATCTTCCACGGTGCTGAAGGCTGGGATTTGTGCTTTGAAACTGTCGAGCGGCACAGGGTGCCTTGGCAGGGTAAGGAGCCTCATTTCTTCACCCTCCTACTTGGTGAGCACGGTTCCAGGCACGGCTGGCAGGGCCGGTCAGCATTGGGAGCGAGAGCTGAAAACCGGATCCGGGACCGGAGTGAGGCCCCAGAGTGAGACGGGACTGGCGCTGGGTCAGAGGCAGCCAGAGCACAGATCGGGGTCCCGGAGCCCCGCCAGGTGAATGACATTACCCCGTTTTGAGGAGGCGGAGCCCGGTGAGGTTAGGGCCGGTTCAGGGGAGCACCAAGGTGGGGAACTCCTAGATCCTCTGGTTCCAGTGCAGGGTGAGTTGGGAGCCCAGATGGTGGGCGAGCCCAGCTGGAAGGCAGCGGGGAGAAGTCAGGTGGAGCCCCGTAGAACGAGGGGCACCAGAGCACAGCTTGCAAGCAGGCACAGACTCGAGGGTTTTCCAGAGCGAGTCCACGCTCCCCGGTGCTTTCAGGCGCCCAGCAGATTGCACAACCCTGAAGTCGATGGTGACCCCGTTCGGAAAGGGGGGTTCAGAGTACGGGCTGGGCTAGGCTGAGACAGGAGGCTCTGCGCTGGCACCGTGGGGCCCCCCCGCCTCTGTGTGCGGGATGTGGCAAATGACATGCGCCCCACCAGGCACGTGGGTGGGGAAGTGGCGACACCCCAAGGCCCAGGGCTGGAGCGCTCCAGGCCTGCCTGGGGCACGGGTAGACCTGGGGCCGAACTAACTCGGATCCTGGGTTTGAAGGAAAGCCTCGTCAGCATGAGTGAAGCAGCCGCGGGGCTCTCTGCTGCTTTCTGCTTAAACGGCTCTTTCCAGATCGGCACGAGTGTTAGTGACATCCGTCATCCCTGGAGGTACTCTCTGGTGGTGCTCCAACAGTCCATTCCTTTTAGTTTTGTGAGGAGAGCTGGAATGGCTCACTGGATTAAGACCTTGGTAAATAAAGGATCACGAGTTACTTCATTGCCCGTGTGTCCAGCTGAGCGCTTAGCAACTTTGCCGTCCCTCCCTGTGTGCGGGGAGCAGGGATTCCCGCTCCAGCGGCATTCGGGCATTGAGAGGACCTTACGGGGTGCCCTCTGTGGGCCTGGCCTGGAGGACGGAGAATGAAGGCACGGTCCTTGCCCTCGGAACCCACTGTGTTACCGCATTTGGGCTTGTAGCTACATGTGTCCATACGGGAGTAACAAGGGAGGGTGAGCTGGGGTGGGGGGGGGGGCAGTTTCCCCGAGGGGGTGGCGTCTCGTGTGGCTCGTGCTCCGTGGGGCCTTGATATCCTGCCTCAAGCCTTCAGAAAGCAGCCTTGCCCCTCAGAGTTTTCTTCTGCTCTTGCCACAGACACCCTTTCCTTCAGGCAACTCTGATGACCCAGGGCATTCCTTCCAGAACTTGTCACCGTCTGTAATTGTGTTATTTATCTGACCACAAACCCCAGGAAGGTAGGGACCACAGAAGTTTGTATCCCTCGTCCCTCCCACAGTTCTTGGCGCAGTTAGGTGTTGATGACACATCGGTGTGTGGCAAGAGGGTGGCACGAGGCTGTCAGAAATTGAGTTATGAGGGCTTCAGGGGCAGCCGGCCAGCTGGTAGCGTTGACAGACCCTTCCATTAGAAATCCTCTAATTGAGAAGGACCCTTGGAGGTCATCTGATCCTATGCCCCCATGAACAACCTGCAGAAATGGCCCGGTCTTGTCCAGCGATGCCTGAGCCCGGCTAAGAGTGCACCCGACCGGGAAGAAACCGGCCCGTACCGTAAACCCACCCTAGCCCAGTGTGTTTAGTCCTTACGGAATCAGTTCTACTTCTGCCTTACAGCTGAAGGAATAGAAACGTGGGGAGAGAGACCCACACAAGGCCACTTATTTCGGGCCAGGCCCAGATCTTTGCCTCTCCTTCCTGAGAGGTGGCCACGTCAGAGAGGGCTGGGGGCTGGGGGACTCAAACCAGGTAACAGAAGCTCATTCAGCCAATCTCCCCACCGTCTGCAGGCCTGTAGTTAAGGAATCCCAACAGGGTCATTTTTCATCCTTGTCTTCCAGAATGTCCCGGAGCCTCTCCATGTACTTTATCAGCTTTGGATAAAGCATTTGACTCTGATTCCATGGACTTGCCGGGAGGGAGGGACAACACCAAGGGCTTTTCCTTCTGTCCGGTCAGCTCCGCACAGCTGGTTCGCCCTTGAACCTGCCTTTCCAGGATGTGCAAGGAGCAGTTGTGGTGCCTGGGCCTTCAGTGTCCCAGGTTAAAGGGCATAATAAGCCTTCTGGGTGTGAAATCGAGGTCATCTTCGGCAAGCGGTCTTCGTAGTTTACAGATTTGGGGTTCCTGATGAGCTTCAGTGGCACACAGTGGAATCAGGAACAGGGCCCGTATGTTACTTCTCTGTCTTGAACTCTGCTGTGGCCTTCCCTGGGACCCATAAGGCTGGTTGGAAACACACACATCACTTGACATTGACTCGTTAAGTCTTGGCTTTACTCTCTCTCTTCTCAGCCCGAGGAAGGTTCTGGAAGGCGGGCTCTTCCTTTTTCTGGCTGCACGATCGTGGGTGACTCTGCCTCTTTAGACCCCAGTTTCCTTTCCTATAAAATGGAAACACTAATGGTATCCACCGCTGAGGATTGTCACAGGAGGGGACACATATAGAGCTGTTTTACACTGCCTGGCACAGCATTGACATGCTCTTTTATGATGCTGCTGCTGCTGAGAAACACTCATTGTGATGCCCGTGGCCAGCGGCTTGCAGTCCGGCTGGGGCAGGGAGGCGGCGAACATGCACGATCGTGACCCATGTGGGTGGAGCTGTGCCTGCAGGCCATGGGGACAGTGTTTGGAAGGGCTCTCGTGGCCCCCACGTGGACCAGCAAGCAGGAGCCTGTGGTGGGGAATTGGCCCCACCTGTCCGCAAGTGCAGGTGCTACAGGTGCTCCCCCTTGGTGGTCCTGCAGGGACAGCTGGTCTCAGGGAAGCCTCCCTGGGGAAGACAAGCTGCGCCTCATGAGACAGCTGGGACTGGTAGGTGGGATGCGACCCAACACCCACGTCCTTCACCATCTCTCTCCCTGCCTTTGACGCTAGTCCCTTCCCTTCTCTAGTGTCGTGGCTTGTGTTAGCCCGGGTTCTCGTACACTTGATAGCCTTGCTTTGTGTGCGGCTGTTTTTAATTCACACCGAGGCTGTCATGCTGCCCACCGTTGCCGTTCTGTTTCCTTCTGTTCGTGAGGTCCGTGCAGGTCGCAAGGTCTGTACCCCAGTCCTGCACTTTTCCCGCCGCTTGCCTCCGCCTTGGTGTGCCACAGCTCCCCCCCCCCGCCCATTCACCCATGCATTCCCCAGGGTGAAGACTCCTGTGTGCCCACAGCCCAAGAGAACATTTCTGTGGGGATGACTCAGGAACAAAATCGCCAGGTCCTCACAGGGCATGTGTCTGCTTAATGACTTAATTACTACCTGGTTGTTCTCAGGCCTGCCTCAGGCTACCTTCCCCCAGTGTAGACAGTAAGGGTCCCGTATGCCGTATGCCCCCCTGCCCCACGCTTGTCAGTTCCCACTCTCTGGGGTTTGCCAGTCTGTCAGGTGAAGAGCCTTGAGATTGTGGGCATTTCCCCAATCACACGAGTGTGAGCGCCTCGCTGCCGTCAGCCCCTTGGACTTTGCTTCTCTCTGAAGTTGCCTGTTCATACCTTTTGCCGGACTTCCCTCGGGGCCTTTTTCATGTTGGTATATAGGACTTACTGGGATATTCCAGTTTAGCGTGTTGTCAATTTAGACATAACAGATTGGGAAACAGTGTTTGTGGTCTGTTAACTTTGTCTGTGGTGTTGGCTTCTGAACAGAAATCCTTAATTTTTGATGCAAAAAAGATGTATTCATATACATACACACGCATGCATGTAAACGCACAGCTTTGACTTTTGAAATTTTAAGGATCTTGCCCAGCCCAAAGTCACCTGTATTTTCTTGTAGTCACTTTCTGGTCCTATCTTACATTCTTACTGAGTGCCAGCTGTGTGGCAGACCCCGTGGAAGGCAATGGGGGAAGAGTGGTGGATGAGGAGGTCCACACCCTCTTAGGGCACAGTGTGAGACGCACGGTATTTGGGGGTTGACGTCCTGTGCGCTGCAGGTCTGGCCTGCACAGCTCGGGACGGCAGGAAGTAAAGCTGTCTGGAGGCATGGACACAGGAACTGGCTGGGGAGGGCAGGGTGTTTTGGGGCACAGGCTGCCACTCCCTCACTCTGTTGTGCATCGAGTTGGCAGTGAGGCAGCCACAACCTCACTGGGGCTCCTGGGGGGCCCCAAGTCCATTGGGAACGTTGGTAGTGTTGAGATGAGCCATGGGCAGGAGGAAGCCAAGGCAGCTCAGGGTAGGAGAGTGTGGGCTTTGGGGCGGCCCTGCCTGGCTCCGTTCTCACTTGGGCCATTGGTTTCACTCTGGGACTTGGGCTGTAACAGGTAATCTGTCTGTGATGGGTCTGGTGGTCAACAGCCAAAGAGGAGGGTACAAAGAATAAAATGGAAGGTGTACTTGAGATGACCAGTACGTGGTACCTTGTAGGTTCCTCTGACCCAGTGGCCTGTGGTTAGCATAGGTGATGGTAGCTGAGCCTGTACTGGGGCCCAGCCCTGGCACTGGGAGGCCGACAGGTGGGGGGCTCCGAGGAGCTGCGGGTTTGCCTTCGCTCGCCCTGTCACCCGCCTGGGAGCCTGGAGGTCTCACTGGGCTGCTTCCAAATCCTCCAGCTTTCCTGTTGCCTTTGGCCACCGTGCTCCACAGAAGGGGATTGGTCCAGATAAGTTGGCTCTAAAGTCAGAGAAGCAGGCGTTGTGCAGCGTCCTTGTGAAAGGCAGTTCCAGACTGTTTCCACCCAGAGGATAAACGAGGAGCTGGTGCGACCTGTTTATAAACAGTCCCTCCCGGCGCCCCTGTAATTATAAACCTGCTGGGGTTTGGACAGAGCCCACTGTCTCTGTTCTGATTCCCAATTACCCAGATGTTTCTGCACAGGGATCACTGCACCACCAGCCCCAGATTCGTCTTAGCTGACTAAGGTGTGTCTGACGCTGGATTCTCAGCCCCTGGGGTGGAGGAAAACCCGAGGAACGACTGGAGTCAGACTTAGAGAAAGGGAGAGGTGGGGTGGGCTGACTGCTAGGGGCTCCCTCCAGGCCTCAGGGTAGGGATTTTTGAGTGGAGAGAGGATGGAGTGATTCTGATTCCCTGGAGGACAGCGAGCTTGGTGGTGGGGAGGAGTGTGGCCCCCTAGGAGGAGTGGGGGCAGGAGAGTGGCTTCTGGAGGACTCTAGAAGGTGGTGGTTCTGCTCTTGCCAAGCCCAACCTGCATGAATTACAGTCCCCCCCGCCCCCGGCCAGGTGCCTGGCCACTGGGATCCTGCCCCCACCTGCCACCCGGAGGACAGAACGGTCCCTTGTCCTGCCTTTCCGCTCTCTGTCCCCACTGCTGAGGCCCCAGCCTGAGGAGGTTACGCTCGCACCCTCCTCTGGAAGCTTCGCACTCCTGAAACCGCCCCCCCTCCCCCTCCAGACCCCCGCCCAGCCCCTTAGCGTGAGGATGAACGCCTGACCCTCAAGATTTCTCACCATCTGATTCCCCCACCCCCAGCTGCACCCAACCCCCCATCGAAATGGCCAGTCGTGGGGCGCCTGGGTGGCGCAGTCGGTTAAGCGTCCGACTTCAGCCAGGTCACGATCTCACGGTCCGTGAGTTCGAGCCCCGCGTCGGGCTCTGGGCTGATGGCTTGGAGCCTGGAGCCTGTTTCCGATTCTGTGTCTCCCTCTCTCTCTGCCCCTCCCCCGTTCATGCTCTGTCTCTCTCTGTCCCCCAAAAAATAAATAAACGTTGAAAAAAAAAAAAAAAGAAATGGCCAGTCGTTCCCTTGCGTTCTGTGTTCCACGTTCCATGCCTCATGGCCAGCACCCCTGGGTCTCCTTGCTGGCAGAGCTTGTCGCCCATACTGTTCTCTCTCTCCAGATGTGTCCCTCTCCTTCTCTCCTTGCCTTTAACCTGGCCAGCGTCCTACTGGTCCTTGAAAATTTGGTTTGGATGTTGCCTCCAGTAGACCTTCCCCACCTCTCGCCCCTCCCCTTGTCTGGGCAGCCCCTGAGGAAGGGGGGTGTCCCAGCCCTGCACCCAGGGACATGTGTGGTGAGTGTCTGCCTTTAGTATCTTGGTATCTGAGGGGGTGAGCCTGAATTTAGAGGAACTTGGAAACATAGGTGGCCTCAGACCCTACTGGGCTTTCTGTGAATAAATCAACTGATAATAAGGTTTGGAAGAAATCTCGTTAAGTTTTTAAATTTCTACATAAAGTCATCTGCCATTTGGCTATCTCAGAACAAACCAGTGTTTTTTGTTTTTTGTTTTTTTAACATTTATTTTGGAGACAGAGAGAGACAGAGCATGAACGGGGGAGGGTCAGAGAGAGGGAGACACAGAATCGGAAAAGGCTCCAGGTTCTGAGCTGTCAGCACAGAGCCCGACACGGGGCTCGAACTCACAGACTGCGAGATCATGACCTGAGCCGAAGTGGGCCGCTTAACTGACTGAGCCACACAGGCACCCCATAAACCAGTGTTTTGAAAAGCAAGAGAGAGGGGCACCTGGGTGGCTCGGTCGGTTAAGCGACCAACTTCAGCTCAAGTCACGATCTCACGGTTCATGAGTTCGAGCCCCATATCGGGCTCTGTGCTGACAGCTGGGAGCCTGGAGCCTGCTTCAGATTCTGTGTCTCCCTCTCTCTGCCCCTCCCCTGCTTGTGCTCTGTCTCTGTCTCTCAAAAATGAATAAAAACATTAAAAAAAAAAAACAACAAAAAAAAAAAAGCAAGAGAGAAACTTTTAAACTACAAAACTGGTAAAGCAAAAATAGCTAACCATGTATGTCCTCACTTTATCATACGATCGCTGTGTCACGTATTTGCAAATTAACTTTTCTCGCACTTCAAAAACCAGTCGGCATTATACCTCAATTTTTTTTAATGTATTGAAACAAAGAGAGCATACTCTGTCAAAGAAGACATATGGGCGGCAGACAGGAGCGAGAAAAGGCTGTCAGCATCACTAGACGTTAGGAAAGTGCAAATTAAAATCACAGTGAGACAGACAACTGCCACGTACTAAACAAAATGGTAAAATATTACAAAAATAAACCCGACACGGCGCCAAGTGCCAAGGAGAGCACAGAGCAGTCGCAACCCTCCTACCCTGCAGCTGGGAGGCGAAATGTGCAGCCACTTGGGGTCACGGTTTGGCGATTTCTTACAAAGTTGGATGTGTGCTTATCGTATAACATTCCCACTCTTAAGTGTTCGACCTGCCCAGGAATCTTTATAGCTTCTTTATTTGTAATTGCCCCAAACTGAAAACAACCCCAGTGTCCTTCAACAGGACGGAAGGGCAAGCAAGTACATGGCAGTGTCTCCACACGATAGAACAGCTCTTAGTAGTAAAAAGGAATAAACTACTGACCGAGATAATAACATGGAACCGGCTCAAAGGCCAGGCCACATGCTGGGTGGTTCCATTTATCCCGGACGTCTTGGTAAAGGGTGTTGGGGAGGAAGAATTTCCTGTGCCCTTCAAGGTCCTTCTGGGTGGACTAAGAATCAAATTGACATGAGGCAGATTAACAGAAGAAGAAAAAATTTAATTTGTACACTTGGGGAATCCACACAGACGTGGCATATTCCGAAGACAGGCAAAGCGAGGTGTGTCTGTCATCCTGAACGAAGGAGAAGGGGTAGGGGTCTGGGGCTTCAAAGGGAAGGAATGTAATTCACAGGTAAATGAAAAAGAGTCAATGTTTGGTGGACAAATGTTTGCCGAGCCGCCAGGAAACAATGGGACAGAGAGAACTTTGATCAGACAGGCCTTCCTGGGCCCTTCTCTGTCCACCTCGCCAAGCTCACAGAATAACGTTATCTGTGGCATACGATAGCTTTCTTCCTGGAGCAGGTCCTCAATCCAGATCCTTTTTAGGCAGTGGGGGGTCGGGGGTGGGGGAGATAAAGAGCTTTTCCTGAATCTTTTGGGGTTTGATTGCTTTTTAACTCAAAATAATCTTCATGCCACAGTGGCCTGGCTTGGGGCGGCCTGACCTTTGCCCCCACAAGGGCCGCCAATCAGATCAGTGGCTGCCGGGGCTGTGTGGGGCAGAGGCTGACTGCAGGAGGGCACGGGGGACAAGGCAGGGAGATGGAAGTTTCTGTACCTTGATACGGTGTTGGTATACACGGCTTACATGCATCTGAACTCGTCTAACTGTATCCCTGTGAAGGGTGAATTTTATTGTACGTAGATTATATTTCAGTCTAGAGAAACAGCTGTCAGCACCCTGACCGCCAGGACCTTGCTCAGGGGAGCGGGAAGGCCACATCGCTCTGTCACTGGGCAGTTTGTGCAGATGTTAATCGTACTTCCTGGTGAACGTCCCTGGGTGTAGACTAAAGGGATAGGCGTCTCGAGCCCATATGTAGCCTTTTAATGGAGGAAAGCCCAGTAGGGCAGACGTTCCTAGAGCATCTCAGTGCCTGTTGTCATGACCACTCCCTTCTCCCCTTGGCCTCAGCAGTGGTCACAGCGGCCAACATTTAAACCCAAAACACATGATTCTGGAAACGTCCTGCCTGCATTCCTTGCTGCAGCTGGGAATGCGATTTCAGATTTCAAGAGTTGTCCTTAAGTATGAACAGCGCCTGAGGTACTGCTCAGGACCTGGCTTGGACCAGCGTGTGCCTTCTTAACAGATACCCTCTTCTGTTCCCTAAAATTTTTTTACGAGGCTTTTGAAAAGCAGAGAGGTGGGTAGGTTTCTGGAGAGCCACCACGCTGTGATCTTGATTACCAGTTTGGATATTGTTGGTGACAGGTGAAAGCCAGCTCCGCATCACGGTCTCACGTCGCCTGTCGAGCCTGAATCGAGCTGCGATGATCTTAGCCCTTGTGGCCGCCAGCTCAGCGACACAGAGTTGTGTTTTGTTGGCTATTTATTTATTTATTTATTTATTTTTCCATCCTGCTGTAGATTTCAAAATGACAGCAGGGCCCTATTTTAAAGGGAAGTGAGCACTCGGCGTCACTTCCAGCTGGTTGTGAAACGCTTGCTTTTTGCCTTGCTAATGACAGGGCCTGCTGAGGATACAGTTGAAAGCTGCCCATCTTGGTCAGGAGCAACCGCCTGGCTGCGCGCTCCTGGAGCTGTGCGTGCACTTCAACATCTGGTGGAGAAGGCTGTCCGGCCGCCTGGCCTCCAGGGCTCCTTGCTGGTCCCCATGGGAATGGGGTCCTCTCTGGCCTCAGCGACGGCCCTTCCTGAGGGGCCAGAGCTCCTCCCCTGTTGCCCATGCCCTTCCAGGGGCCCCCGTGTTCTGTCCCTCTTCAAGGACTTCACCACTGCCCCCCTCCCCTCGGTTAGTTCAGCTCAGGGCAGGAGAAACTCTAGTGTGAACTCTTCGTAAACCGGAGTTCAACAGGCTGTGCCGTTGTCGGTCTCCGCAGCCTGCCCGGGACAGCGAGGACTGTCCCCTTTTGTGTAGGAGTGGGACCTAGTCCTCTGTTCTGCAGGAGCTTCCAGACTGAGTCTAAACAGGGGTGAAATAGGAGAGGGATCAGCCAGCAGAGAGACCTTCAGAAATGGTAAAGTTGGTAAAAGTTGGTGAAGATTTTGGAAGCGAGTGGGAAGGAAGGGTTGGAATGGCATGATCGTTTTTCTGCCACATTTCCTCCAGCGCCCCAGTGTCCGCGCTGCCCTTCTAGGTGAGGTCTGGTGAATGCTTTGATCCTCACTCCAGTGCAGCCACTAATATTTCTTAATTCTGTTATATTTGATAGTTTATTTTAAAAATTTTTAATGTTTATTTTTGAGAGAGAGAGAGTAGGGGAGGGGCAGAGAGAGAGAGACAGAGACAGAATCCGAAGCAGGCTCCAGGCCCTGAGCTGTCAGCACAGAGACAGATGCGGGGCTCGAACTCATGAACTGCAAGATCATGACCTGAGCCGAAGTCAGATGCTTAACCGACTGAGCCATCCAGGCGCCCCTATATTTGATAATTTAAACGAGCTAGTCTCTCTTTTCATATGTGAGAGAATGTAGTCCAAACTCACCTTAACACTGGTCAAAGCAGAGAGGAGCCTGAGCTTTGCCATGGAGACGGTCCCACCCGGAGCCGTTTGAGATGCTGCCTTCAGCTGCTGCCCCCGATCTTAGTGACCTAGGTCATCCCCTAAGCCCTGTTTTTCTCATCTTCTTCCTACTTGCCATGGCAGGGCAGTATTTGCAGGTGCAAAACACCTGCTGTGTTGCCTGGCACATAGTAGGTGCTCAGAAGGTGGGAGAGTGTTGAGGGCTCTAATCGGGAAGTGATAATAATCCAGCATGGGATGATGTTAAAGTGGGAGGTGCCTGAAACCTGTTTATACCAGTGATTTTCCAAAGGTCTTTAGCCAGTTCTGTAATATTAATTATAGAATCATTTAGATCCGAGCCACTAAATTATTTTATTATTATTATTATTATTATTATTATTATTATTTTTATCGCTCTAGTCAGACATCACTTGCTCCAGGAGCTGTCCCTGACCCCTTGGTCTACACGAGATGCCCTTCTGGGCACCTTCAGCTCGCCATTCCCTCCACCACAGCCCTGCCTGTGCTGGTCTGTCCCCCTCCCTGGCCCGTGGTGTCAGAGCGTGGATGCTGGCCACGTGGTTTTTGAGCTCTGAATTTTTTTTTTTCAATGTTCCTGCCAGTAATAAAAATGGGGAGCTTGTCAGCTAACAACGCAGGGTGCCTTTTGAGTGGAAGAGTGGATGAGCCCGGCTGGCACGGAGGCCACGCGTGCAGCCGCGGGGGTCAGGCCTGCCCCAGTCCCAGGAGGGGGCCCCGGCCTCACCGTGTGGTTCTGTCTCCTAGGTTGGGAACTACAAGCGGACGGTGAAGCGGATCGACGATGGCCACCGCCTGTGCAGCGACCTCATGAACTGCCTGCACGAACGGGCGCGCATCGAGAAGGCGTACGCGCAGCAGCTCACCGAGTGGGCGCGGCGCTGGAGGCAGCTCGTGGAGAAGGGTAGGGAGGCCGCCGCCCCGGGGGGGCAGTGGGGCGCCGTCACCCAGCAGCGCGGGCGGGGTGAGCTCTCTTCCCCTTTCTTTGCGGCACGGGGCTCCTCTCTGCAGACAGCACCCGAGCCCCCCTCTGCGGAGCCCCGGTCATCCGTAGGACATGCTCCGCTTGCCAGCCTAACCCGGAACGGCGCCTTCGGGACCCAGACTCGAGTCAGAGTCAGCGTTCTCATGGCAGAGAGCTGGCTGCTTTGCACGGCGGGTCCGACACGGAGGGTTGTTTCTTCGTAAGCTTGGCTGTGTAGCAGATCAGGAAAGACTAGATGGTGACATCGCCAGGCTTTCTAATTTGGAATTTTAACAGGAATAACTAGCTAGAGGTGTCGTATGGTGCGCGTTCTGTCCCCGCTCCCTCCCTAGCAAAGCGCTCAGAAGATTCTGGAGTTTGGTAACCGACTGCTGCTGGAGATGTGGATTGTGCTCAGGACGCACCTCCCGGCAGTAGAGGGGGGCTTGATGGCTTCCAGGGTTTCCTGCGACAGAAGCCGGTTGGTGGGGCTTTCTCAGGGTGTGCCGTGGGGCAGGCCCTTTCCCGTGGCAGCCCACCTCAGAGGATGGGGAAGTCAGGCCGCTGGCCTCGGGGTCCGGCGGGGAGGTGGGGGGCGGGGCCCAGGCAGCTTCGGCCCGGTCTAGACCAGCTGCCCGTGTCTCCCCTGTTGCTGAAACTGGTCGTCGGTCAGGTGGGGGTGGTTAGCACAGTGCCTTGGTACAAGCAGGTGCCAGGGAGTGAGGTGGTCACGCACGGGTGACGAGGAGCCGTAACTTGTTACTTTATTTCCACCTCTTGGGGTCCAGCTGCCAGCACCGTCCCGTGTGTTGATTCAAAACTTGAGGCTCACAGAGCACCGTTGCCCCCCTCACCGCGTGGATCCCACCACCGCGTGGCAGAGCGAGGCGGGACAGGGAGCAGCTTGTTCTGTAGACACAGGGAGTCGAGGTTCAGAAGGGTTCACACCCCCCACGGCTATCCACCCCTCCGGTGCCTCTCTGTGTCAGTACACAGCTCAAACAGCAATTGTCCCCCTCAGATTCCGTCACAGCTTCTTCCTCCCTCACCTGAGGCCAGCACCCCACACCCTCAACAGAGTGACAGGCCGATTATGAGCTTCCTTCCTGAGTGCAGCGTGCGAGGGGACCACTGTCTAGAGATTTCCATCTGGCCAGAGCAGCTTCCTGCCTCCAACTCTCCTTCCTCTCCCCAAGACAGGGCTTCCATTCTGCTGAGGAGACAGTCCTCTGTTTGACGAGCAGCTCTCAAGTTCCTGCTCTGAGCCAGGCTCCTCCTGGGAGTGAATGAGAGAGGTGCTGGAGAGCCCCCCACGGGGAAGGGAGAGGTCAGCTCACTTCAGAGGCGCCTCCTTCTCCAGCCAGCCATAAGCATATTAAAACTTTCAAGATGCTAGGGCGCCTGGGTGGCTCAGTTGGTTAAGTGTCTGACTCCTGATTTCAGCCCAGGTCACCATCTCCTGGTTCATGAATTCGAGCCCCATGTCAGCCTCTATGCTGACAGTGCTGAGCCTGCTTGGGATGTTCTCTCTCTTTCTCTTTGCCTCTCGCCCCCCCCACCCCACCCTAATAAATGAATAAACATTTTAAAAATATTAATTAGGAAAAAGAAAAACTTCCAAGATGCAGAAATTCGAGTTTTTAAAGAGCTTAGTGACTCTAAAAAAAGGAAATGTGGGTAATCCCCTGATTTCCCTAACAAAAGAATGGCTGAGTCCATCCAGCTTCGCTTCCTTATTCTTTCTTCATCCCGGGCTGAAAAAGGAACAGCCACCGAGAGAAAAAGATCTGAAAGAACCCAAAGGAAACCTCTCGGCCCAGCAGCCAGTCTGCTGGGCCTAGAATCCGGTCCTCACAGCAGAGACAGGTTAACAGAGCAAATCCCCACGGCAGGGCCCCTCTGGGAGCCGCGGGCGAGTAACCAGCAGCTTCTCTCCTGTGCCAGGGCCCCAGTACGGGACGGTGGAGAAGGCCTGGACGGCGGTCATGGCCGAGGCGGAGAGAGTGAGCGAGCTGCACCTGGAGGTGAAGGCCTCACTGATGAACGAGGACTTCGAGAAGATCAAGAACTGGCAGAAGGAAGCCTTTCACAAGCAGATGATGGGAGGCTTCAAGGAGACCAAAGAGGCGGAGGACGGCTTTCGGAAGGCGCAGAAGCCCTGGGCCAAGAAGCTAAAAGAGGTGCATGCCTCCTGCAGGCAACTCCCTGCCCGGCCCGGCGCCCCTGCTTCCTGGCTGCTTTGGGCAGCGGTAGAGATGGGCCACCCCTCGGAGGCCCGTGGTGGCTAAGATTTACTCCAGTTCAAGACACCGGAGTCCCTTTGGGCTAGTAGAAAGGATTAACTTGAAATGTTTCTTTTGTATGTGTTTTTCTCTGAAATTTGCAAATGATACTGATACTGGTTTTTCCAAACGTAGCAACCGAAGCCACTGAGCCTTGCCCAGCCTTGGCTCGCGGGAGGCTCTCAGACACGCACCCCTGCCCTCACCACCCGCACCTCACCAGCCCCATTCCTTGGGTGGCCGTGCTGCCTCTTTCCTTGCCCGTCCCCCAGCTTTTCTCAGGAGCCATACTGCCTTCCTCGTCCCCAGAACCGCCCAGAACAGACCTCTGTCTTCGGGTTGTAACGACAGGCTCTCCTTTTCCCTGTTGTCTCGGCCTTCGCCGCTCTCCTTTCTTCTCGTCCGCGGCCTCATTTGTAATGATTATCCCCCTCATGAGGCCACGGTTACAAAACTCTTTCCTCTCTAGAATGAACTCTGTGACTTTGGCTTAAGCAGGGAAACATCTGTGAAGTAAAGATACACACATCCAGGGGCGCCTGGGTGGCTCAGTCGGTTGAGCGCCCAACTTCGGCTCAGGTCATGATCTCGCAGTTCGTGAGTTCGAGCCCCGCGTCGGGCTCTGTGCTGACAGCTCGGAGCCTGGAGCCTGCTTCGGATTCTGTGTCTCCCTCTCTCTGCCCATTCCCCAGTTGGACTCTGTCTCTCTCTCAAAAATAAACATTTAAAAAATTTTTAAAAATATGAAAACTTTAAAAAAAACTTAAAAAAAAACTATACAGACATGTGCACATATATGCGCCTGTGTGCACGCGTGTATATATGTGAGAGAGCCGTGGAACACGTGTCCTGTGACTCTGCCTCCCAACACCAGCCCCTCACGTTAGCCCTGGAACTTTGTATTCACTGTTCCAGCCGCCTGGCATGCTCTTCCCGCAGACAGCCACACCTCCTTCCCATTCCTGCTCCGTGGCGTCTCTCTCGGCCGGCTCTCCCCAGCCTCCGAATGCAGCTCAGCACGGCGTCCCCTCCCCTCTCTTCTCTCCTCCTTGGCACTCATTACCCTCTGACTCTGTTCTTCAGCCGTCTCTTGTAGTCGCCTCTCTGGCTGGACGGAGAGCTCCGTGACAGCCCGGTGCCTTGGGTGCTGCACCCCCGGTGCCCAGGAGAGCACCCGGCCCCAGGCAGGCGCCGTGCCAGCGTCTGCTGGATGCCCTGTCGCGATCGTGCGGCGCGCAGAGCTCTGCACCTGCTCCTCCCTCTCATCTGGGTGGCGCGAGCAGTCTGTGGAGCCTCTAGTCGGGACTCTGTGCTCCCGACGTGGCGCTCAGGAGCTCCCTCCCCCCGCAGGTGGAGGCAGCAAAGAAGGCCTACCACGCGGCGTGCAAAGAGGAGAAGTTGGCCACGTCACGAGAAACCAACAGCAAAGCAGACCCATCCCTCAACCCCGAGCAGCTTAAGAAGTTGCAAGACAAAGTAGAAAAATGCAAGCAAGATGTTCTTAAGGTAAACCGGGCACAGCTTTTCCACGCTGAACGCGCGTGCCTCAGCTGGCCACCCGTCTGGCCCACAGCCTTTGTCGCCGCCGGAGCGGATGCGGGGGGAGGTGCCACGGCAGCAGAACCTAGTGCTGCCCTCGAGAGAGTTCCACAGTGAGCCCCTTCCTGCGGCCCCCCGTGCCCCGCTCAGGACCGGGGCGGAAGCCAGTGCTGGACAGGCAGGGGAACGGGCCATTCCTCCGCTTCGGGAAGGGCGGTGGGGCTGCTGCCAGCCAGGCGGGAACAGCTTATGCGGGACGTGGAGGCGTGAACGTCAGTGGCAGGGAGCTGACGTCTGAGCTGGCACGGGGTTATGATGTCCAAATTGCCAGTGGTCTTGCAAGGCAGGTGGTGAGGAGCTTCTGACGCTGCTAACAGGGAGCCACTGAAAGAAGGTTCCAGAACCTGGGGAGGGCACAGGTGTGGAGGAGGACCACAGCTTACAGGGATTGCTCTGGTGATGAGGGGCAGGAGTCCCATGGCAGGACGGGAGTGCCTGGAAGGCCCAGGGCACTGTGGCCATAGACGGGGTCAAGGGAGCAGGGCCCAGCAGTGAAGGCCTGGAGAGGTGCAGGCGCACAGGCAGCGTGGCATCCTGGGTGCCCTCTGTGCAGTGCCGTGGATCAGAGAGCAGACGGGAGGGCGGTGTGACCGTGAGGGCGCCTGCGGAGGCCAGAGTGATCCTGCCCGGAAGGCCCGGGGCACGCGGTGCCAACGCTGGACAGGTTCACGTCCTTTGAAAGTTCCCAGGAGGTGAGAGCTGACGTGAGCGAGGCCCCGGGCCACCGCCTCTGCTGTGCGGTGAGGGTGCAGGGGGCCGGGGCCGTCAGGGGCTGCTCTGCGGCAGGGCTGAGCGAGGAGACGCCAGCCTGCGTCTGGGGAGAGAGAGAGACGCAGAGAAGTGGAGAGGCCCTGCGGCCGGGACAGGACGTGAGGCCGAGGGGAAGCAGGAGCCCTGAGCTGCTCCGTGGACACCCTCCACCGTGTCCGGCTTGGGTGAGCACCACTGAGCCCGGGGACTTAGGTGGTGGCATCTCTGTGTGTGACTGAGGAAACTGCGTTGGGAGAGGCTCAGTCTTGTTCCAGCTGGTGGTGTGAGCGGGGGACGGCCCGTACCCCCTCTCTCCGCTCCTCGCTGCTCTGTCGTCAGCGTAGCGAGGGGGCGGGGTCGTGCAGAATGTCGTCTGTGGAAGAGCCCATCCCTCAGAGCGAGCACCGGAGCCTCTTGGGGAGCAAGCCCCCACTCCCCGCTCCTGGTTCTGGGCCTGGGGCAGGGCCAGGAATGTGGGGTTTTAGAGCAGCTGCTGCCTCCGCTGTGGGATCGGGTCAGGAGCCTGGGGCTACGCGCCGAATAGGCAGGGCACCTGGGCTCCAGGAACGTGAGGCCGGCGGGGTGCTGAGGGCCGCTTCTGCCAGGTGCCCAGGATGGTGCCCAGAGGAGAGATGCGCCATCTCTGCGTCGGGGTGTGGGTGTGAGGGAGACGTAGACACATACCTTTCCTGTTTTATTTCCAGCCGCTCCGAACAGAGTTCACTAAATCGATGCTTCGGCAAAACAGACCCAGGGTCCGAGGTCAGATGTAAGGCGCCTGTCAGGATGACTGGGCCGCATTGTAGAGATTTCCCTCCTGGCTCTGCGGTCTGGTCAGTGACCTTGAAGCACGATGGTCCTCGTAGGCCGAGAGCCAGCCCAGAGAGGAGGGCACCCCCACCCCCACCTCCCCTTCCTGAAGCGGTTTCCAAAAACTAACACTGACTGGCTGCACACGCCCTTCTGTATTTCTTACCGGTCAGGCAGTGACTGCACCTCGCAGTATCCATCAGAAAGGAACTCCTCACGTTCAGTGCTAAAGGTCACCGTCCACAGGAGAGCGAAGGCTGCTTCTCGTTTTGCTCCACGGATGTTTACTGGGAACTTTCTAAGTGCTCTGTGCTGGGGATTCCCCAGTGGTGGTGATCACGCTCTCTATCTGGCCTTTGCTGGGGCCGGACTGTTTGTGAACACGGGCCACGTGCCCGGGGAGCGTCTTGTCGCCACCGGGTGCCCCGGGGTGCCCAGGGAGGCTGCTGTGTTGAAGTATCCCAGAGAAGTGGTTGCTCTGTGTCGCCCTGATGGTACCACTGGGCGCCGGGTGTTTAAACTAGAGCTTCAGGTCTTCGGGCCTCCGAGCTAGTGATCCCACACAGGGCCTCACACGTGCAGGTGGCCGATGAGGAGGAGGAGGAGGAATAATCAGGGCAGTTGGTGGCTCTCTGTTCCTGCTGGGAATGCCCAAACTGGAAGGGATGACCTTTCTCTCTGGGGTCACAGAGGACCCAAGCCTAGCCAGGCGGCTCAGAAGCAGGACAAGGAACGGTAGATATGGGAGGGGGCAGGGGGTTGTTCCAGGGAGTGGGCGGGCCTGTTAGGGAAGTCTTTGAGAAGAGAGATCCCTGGGGCATAAAGGGGAGTTTTCCAGGGCATGAGTCACAGAAGTGTGTCTGGGAGGGAAGCAGTGTAGACAGTGAGTAGACTTGGGGTCTCGAGCGGGGGCAGAGAAGCTGCCCCCGAGGTTGCGGGAGACCCACAGGCGGGGTCCCAAGGCATGGCCTTGATCCTCAAGGCGAGGCGGCCTGTAATGGCTCAGGGAGGCTCAGCCCTTTCTTGGAAGCCCACTCTATCATCAGGACCAGAAAAGCCAAGTTCCTGCATGGCCAGCCCACCTGTCTGTGATCACCCTCGTGTCTCAGGGTCTCCATAGTGGAAAGGTTTACAGTAAATATGGCCCCAGCTGGAAAGGCTTATCGGAAATATCACCCCAGCTCTGCTGTCCCTCCATTTGCCCCAGGATACTACCGTGGTCCTATCATACTTCCTTTCTGGTAAAATCCCTTCTCAGGACAGTCTCTGAAGGAACAGCTGTGTAGGGGAGTGTAGTGGGCTGGAGGACAAGGGGCCCAGAACTTTTTTGAATTCCTGCTTTGTGCAACTTGGTGCCCATCTCGTGTTACCTCATTTAAATACCAGAACGTCGAAGTAGAAGTGCAGGCCCTGGGGTTTTGGTTCTGGACCCGCCACAACGAAGGGAGTGTCACAGCAAAGCAAGTCAAATGACTTTCTTGGCTTCTCAGTGCATATAAAAGGTATGTTTATACTAGAGTGTAATTTACAAAGTGTGCAATGGCATTACGTCTAAAAACGACGTACGTACCTTAATTAAATATTTTATTGTTAAAAAGTTCTAACCATCAACTGAGGTTTCACGGAGTCATCACTAGTCACAGATCACCATGACAAACGTCATAATAATAGTAATAGTAATAATAGCAGAAAAGTTTGAAGTATTACGAGAGTCACCCAAACGTGACGAGAGACCTGAAGTGAGCGAATGCTGCTGGGGAAGTGACACCGATAGACTTGGTCCACGCAGGGTGGCCACAAACCTTCAGTTTGTGAAAAAATGCAATACCTGTGGAACACGATAAGACAAGGTTTGCCTGTACCTCATGTTCTGCGAAGGAAAGTGGGGCTGTCAGAAGATGGGGTGCCAGGACCCACCCCCAGGTCTGTCTGGCACTCAACCCCGTGATCTTGCCTCTGACATAACTTCTGAGTCACCGCTGTCATGGGTGAGGTCCGAGGCGCGTGGGTGACCCGGTAGCCCTTCCCCGGGGAGAGAGGACACGGGTAGATGATGTGGGTGGGAGTCAGCGTGGCAGTGCTTGGTGCTCGAGACCACGCACCCTGGGCTCCAGAGTGAACACCCCTTCCCCAGCATCTACCTGTCTGGGCTGGTTCTAGCTGAGAGGCCCAGCAGATGCCAAGAGTATGGTTTGCAGTTCAGAAGTGGGGGGGCTTGGACTTGAACTTGAATTTGAAAGTGGAGTCTGTGAGACTCCAGAGCTTGTGCTCTTTGTGCTTTGGAATCTGTAGAGGCCTGGGCGATGAGCCTGGGGGGCCTGGCCACGTGGGGGTGGGAAGGGTGTCTTGCCCAGTGTTTTCCCCGCCCAGCTCGGGTGGGTGTCCCCTTTGGGATCAGGGGTGGCGCGGGAGTCCCGTGGGCTGGGACCTGAGGGGCGTTGAGGAAGTCGATCCTTGGACGCCGGGTCCCAGCTCCTCACCCTGCTTACTCCCCATGAAGTCCCTCAAAGCGTCTGCCCGAATATTGTCACCTGACGAGTCTAGATGCCGATGACGCCAGAAGTGGCGGAAAGGGACAAAGGCGGGTGAGGAACAGGGTGGCGCAGAGCCCGGCTGGCTTTCTCTGTGCCAGAGGGAGCCGGGGTGAGCGGCGATGAACCTTCGTCCCGTGGTGCCGGCCTTTCTTGTAGACCAAAGAGAAGTATGAGAAGTCGCTGAAGGAGCTCGACCAGGGCACCCCCCAGTACATGGAGAACATGGAGCAGGTGTTTGAGCAGTGCCAGCAGTTTGAGGAAAAGCGCCTGCGCTTCTTCCGGGAAGTCCTGCTGGAAGTTCAGAAGCACCTAGACTTGTCGAACGTGGCCAGGTGAGTTCCCGTTTAGAGAGGGAGCACGTCACCATGTGGTCAGTGGAAAGTGGCTTTTGCGTACAGCTCAGTAACTGCTCTCCAGACCAGGGCTGGGGGTGGCCGTGTCTGTCCCAAGACCTCCTCCCCGCTGAGTTTTCCTGTCCGGGGAGGGTCTTGTGCCACGGGGTCGGCCTGTGTGGTGTACTCCCTTCCCCTCCCCCTGCCTGTGGCAGCTGATGGCCCACGGCTGGCCTGAGCCGGGGGGCCTCGGGCCACGCACCGCCAGCTCCACGAACGCGCTCTGGGCCAGGGTAGGAAGGGAGGGCCACGGCTTGGACCGACCACAGCGGCGTATCTGAAATCAAGCCAGGAGCATTTCCCCGTGCTTCCCGGGCTGGGGTGCCCCACCCTCAGGACCACCTTGCCTCGAAGCCCTTCGCGAGGCCCTTCCATCCAGAGCAGCTGGCTGCCTGCTCAGCCCTGGACTTCTCAGTGGCCCTTGGACGGCACGGGCCCTCAGAGACTCAGCTCTGAACCATGACGTGGACGCCGCGGTGTTTCTTCCACACTCGCCTTGTCCTTGGTCCCGTGATGCCTCCTTTGGGACAGAGGTCCGGGCTAACTGTGGACGTGGACTTCAGCCATCCATATAGCAGAGCCGTTCAGAAAGGACTCACAAGTTAAGGCTCGTCGTTCGCAGGAAATTACATTCTCTTTGTCTCCTGTGTGACACAATAGAAACAGTCCTCGCGGGGCTACCCTGCCGGCATTCATTAGTCCTTAGGAGAGTCGGTACAGTGGGAGGCACTATTTCCCATCTCACTGGCGACAAAACAGAGGCCGGCTGTGGAGCGTGACTTGCCAGGAGCTGCACCGCTGGCTGGGGAGGGGGGGAGGCGGGGGGCTCGCCTCCCTGGGGAGTAGATGGCAAGTGGCCCCCTGGGGCTGTCGTGACAGAATACCAAAAACCCGTGGCTTAGGACAACAGAAACTTACTCTCTCACGGTTGGGAGGTGGGACGTCTGAAGGGAAGGTGTCTCAGGGCTGTGCTCCCTCTGAGGCTCTAGGACAGAGGGTGCTCCCAGCGGGCAGTCAGTCTGCTGCCAGGCCCCGGCTCGTTTGGTTTAAAAGCCAGTTTGTGGGAAGGGTCCCCGGGTGGCTCGGTTGAGCATCTGACTTCGGCTCAGGTCACGATCCCACGGTTCGTGAGTTCGAGCCCCACGTGGGGCTCCGTGCTGTCAGTGCAGAGCCCACTCCGGACCCCCTGTGCCCCCCTCTCTCTCTGCCCCTCCCCGCCAAAAAATAAAAAATAACGACAAAAAGCCAGTTTGTGGGAAGCCAAAGCTGTGGCTCACGCACCGTGATCGTTGTTTGTCTCCTGTGCACGCAGAGGCCAGGGGACCATCCCGCCGACCCAGGCAGCACCTCCTGGTCCGTACTATGAAGCTGATTCTAGTGTGGCTGGAGACCACGTGCCTGCTGTGGCCCGGCTCTTGGCTGGGATGAACGGTAGCCTTCCCTGCCTTCCAAGACGGTCCTGTCTCCTCTTTCTGATTTAGCTACAAGAACATTTACCGCGACCTGGAACAGAGCATCAAAGCCGCTGACGCAGTGGAGGACCTGAGGTGGTTCAGAGCCAACCACGGGCCAGGCATGTCCATGAACTGGCCGCAGTTTGAGGTAAGAGGAGGCTGTGCCCATGACCCCGCTGGTCCGGCAGGGGCCTGGGCCCGTGAGGTTGAGACATGTGCTGACTTTCTCATTCAACTCTGTGCTGGCCTTTGCCCTGTTTGTGGGGCAGCCTTTAAGCATGGCTATTCTAGAAACCAGCTTCATGTTCAGAGTCCCCAGGGCACTACTGAAGGGCCTTCTGAATCTCAGTAAAGACCCTTCTCATTAAGAATTCGGACGGTCACTTGGTGACCACCAGCATTCTCTTCTTGGTGGTGAGTGCCAGGACCCACAGGTCACGCGGGGGCCCCAGTTCCCCGCCCCACCCTGCCAGACGGCTGAGAAGGGAGCAGCCACCGTGCAGCTGGGTTTGGCAGGCCTCCGGTCCAGGACGGGGTGGAGAGTGGACTCTTCTTCCCCGTCACACGAGGCACTTTGCCTTGTTTCAGACAGGAAATTCAACCAATTTTGGTTCAGGGTTAACTTTCCTCTTTTCCTGATTTCCTGGGTCCGAGCCTTCCAGTATCTTTACATGTAAAACGGGAGGCCCTGAGGCCCTCGGGTCTCTTCCAGACACAGGACTCGGTCGCCAGGCCCCATCGGGCCCCACATGAGTCCTGCCACCCTCCTTCTCTGAGGGAAGGGATTCTCCGCGCCTTGTGATGAAGCGGGGCCGGGAAAGGCTTTGCGGGCCCGCGGGTGCTGCCTTCTGGGAAGGACGCCTTGCGCGAGGGCCGAGCGGCCTCCCCTGCCTCCAGAGCTGCCAGGGTACAGGCTACGCTCAGGTCTGGCCTCACCACTTACCAGCTGTGGGACGCTGAGCGAGTCATTTGTTCCCACGTATCAAATGGGGAGGACCACGGGCGCCCATCTCCTCGAGCAGCTGGGGGTCGTGACCTGGTCTGTGCTGGCCGTTGTGTCAGGCCTCATACGTGTGCCTCCATCTTCTGGAGCTTCTGAAGAAAGCTGGGCGGGCCCCCTGCACTGTCTGCAGGAGCTCTCCCAGTAGGAGGCCGAGAGCAGACTGGGCCCCTTCCTCCGAGGCACCTGCACAAAGCAGAGCCCCAGGGCCCTCCAGGGTGGAAGCGGACCTACAGGAGAAAGCACGTAGCCTCCCTGCCCTCCCCCCCCCCCCCCCCCCAGTGGCGGTGCATGGGGAGGAACCGAGTTGACCTGTGTCCTGTGGACAGAGCCGGGATTTTCCCCCTGCAGGGGGCGCGTGCTGCTCTCGGGAGCTGGCTCAGGAGGTCACCTCCCGCCAGTCCCTTAGGGAACGGAATGGTCGGGGAAGGAAGACTTGACAGGCCGTCCCACTGGGGTGGGTGTCCCGGCCAGAGCGCACCGTGGCCCTTCTGTCTGTGGATCCTGCAGGCCGGGAAGCAGCACCCCACGTGGCATGTGCTTAATGGTTCTTCCAGGGTCATGAAATTACAGGGTCTAATGAAATTATTTGTTTTTATTTTCCATGCCGCAGGATGAAGTAAGTTTCTGTTCTTTGGCTAATGTATTGAATTCCAAACCTTGTGCCGTGTGTGTCCAGCCCGCGTGGGCTGCGTGTGGGCTGCACAGCCTGGTGCCGGCAGAGGAGCTGAGGCAGCAGTTCTGCCCGTGCTGGTCATTGTCCTCGTGAACGGCCGGCCCTCCTTCCCCAGCCGGCCTGGTGTCGATTACGTGGGCCCTGGGGAGCCCACCCAGTCGGGACGGGTCTCTCTGAGTCAGCTGATTTTGGTTGAGAAGATAATTATCAACAAATAGGTGACCAGGATCTGGAGTCAGGCCCAAGTCTGCCACCAACTCTGTGTGGCCAAGGTCACGTTTTCTGTCTGGGCCTCAGTTTCCTCATCTGACAAGTTGACAGGTTAGACTTGGTGTTTCTAAGATGCCTTCTAATCTGGAGGCCCTACAGGTACATGTGGGCCACGCTGTGGCCTCGGTCCCACCAAGGGTGAGTTCAGTGGAGGTGGTTTGGTAACGGGTGGGGTTACCTGCCTTTCTGTAAGATCGTGTTAGGGACACGTGTTAGGGACGGCCCTTCTTCCTTTTCCCCCCGCTTCCAGTGTCCCTCAGTGCAGTTGATAAAAGCTGTTTACGTGCTGGGAAACTAGGGAACCTTTGGGGAGTCGACTTTTTGCTCGGTTAGCCCCACAGCACGTGCTACCAGTGAGGGAGCCACTCCCGGAGACCTGCGAGGTCGAGCCGGCTTACCTGCCCCTTTGGTGATGTGACATCCAGGCCCTGTGCGTTTGCACCCTGTGGTGCGGTCCCCACGTTGCAGGCTTGCTCAGAGTCCTGTAGCCAGCCCTCCTGTTCCCCTGGGAGCCAGAAACACTTTAGGGAATAAATGGGAAGGATCTTTGCTGAAAGAGCTAATTTGGAAGGCTCAAGGAAACTGGCGAGGCCTCTGGCGACCCCTGGTGGCTTGAGGTGGCCGGAGGCTTAGTGCCACGTGGGCAGGGGCCGGATGGGGAGGCTCCCTGGACACCTGCGTGCTGGCTGGCCAAACTCTCCTCCCGAGACCAGACCACCACAGGCCCAAGTCCCCACCTTTAGCAGTGAGGACGGGGGAGTAGGAAGGTGCCAGGAACCTGAGGTCGGCTGGAAAACAAGGCAAAATCGAGGCAGCGAGGCTACGTGTCACTAACCAGGCAGGGCGGGCCACTGGCTGGCTGGCCGGTGTGTTAGACTGACGTGGCCTCAAACTAATGAACTTCCCTGTCTCTCTCCCTCGGTGCCTGCTGCCCAGGAGTGGTCCGCAGACCTGAATCGAACTCTCAGCCGGAGAGAGAAGAAGAAGGCTACTGACGGGGTCACCCTGACGGGCATCAACCAGACAGGCGATCAGGCTCTGCAGAGCAAGCCCAGCAGGTGGGCACTGGGGCAGCCTCCGTCCCCTGGGATAGGTCCCCTGGGTCCTCTGCGTGGGCCGGACACTCCCCAGTGAAGCCTTGCAGGGAGCCCCACACATACGTCTTTCCAGATGCTTCCAGGGCATCCGAGCTCTGCTGGGTAGTGGCCCAAGGGCATCCCTGGGAAGGATCATCAGCTCACCTGGTGCCACAGCTGTGGAAGGACCCAGAGAAGGGAGCCTTTGCCACAGACATGCTTCTGGCCCCAAGTGAGGGCGGGAGCTGATGTCAGGGGCTGGTCGTTGTGGATCTCCACTGGCACACGGGCAGGTGGAAGTCGCTGTTGTGGCTCCCTCCGGTGGGACCGGGCATCCTGGCCAGGTTGCTTCCCTGTGCCGTGTGCAGGGGCCTGATTTGGGAGTGGGGGGCAGCACAGGACAGCATTGTCACGTGTCCCACCCACCCCCTCCTTTTTTTTTTGAGAGCGAGAGAGACAGAATGTGAGTGGGGGAGGGGCAGAGAGAGAGGGAGACAAATAACCTGAAGCAGACTCCAGGCTCCAAGCTGTCAGCACAGAGCCCGACGTGGGGCTTGAACCCACGGAGCGCGAGCATGACCCAAGACGATGTCGGACGCTTAACCGACTGAGCCACCCAGGCCCCCACATGTCACCTCTTTGGTGAGAGCGTTGGTTATTTTATTTCCCACGTCACTGTTTGCTGAAACCTAGTTTGGATAGAAGAGGTGATGCTGAGGTCATTGGAACCTCTGGGAAAGTGTGTGCTGGACGAGGCCTGTCCCCGGGCCTCCGCGTCCCGGCGGGCAGGTGTTGCTGTCCTCTGCAGAGCTGCCCCTCCCAGAGGCCACTCCTGCCGCACGGGCTCCGCACCCAGAGGCTTCCTTGCCACAACGGTAATGATAGACCTCACGGTTGTGCCTCCTGGAAGGGTCCGTGAAGGTTCTGGAGCCCTTTCTGCATCCCCGGGCACTGAAGCTCCTACCCGGGCTTCCTGGGCAGACGTGATGGCTCACCATTCAGATGGCTGTGCCTCCGTCTGGACAGGTGAACTTGGTGAAGTGGCCAGAGCAGTATGAGCTGTCCCAGGGATCAGGCCAGCACCTGTGTGATTGGCGCAGGGGTGTGGAGGGTGAGACACCACCCCAGGGGTCGGGGAGGAGGGCGTGGGAGAGTCTAGGCAGCCGGGGCCGCTCAGCACCAGCCCCCTACAGAAAGAGAAAGGTGCCAGGGAGGGAGGAGGGCCTGCTGGCCTCAGGCATACAGCCCAGGCTTGGGTCCGGTGCCCCTCGCCAGGCCACTGAGGCAGTGACTGGCCACCTGGGGTCACTGGTGGCATTTGTGCCCTGCCCCACCCCCCCCCACCCCCCCACTCTGTCTGGGCCATCCATCCAGCGCTGTGGGTGCCGACCGCACACAGTCCCCTACTTGGCGGCAGGAGGCGGTGCTGGCCCCACAAGCCCCACCCTGCAGCTTAATTCCACAGTCAGGTGCCGGGGCTCTTAGGGGCCTGTCTCATTTCTTGGCCATCCTGTTCTGCACCTTGTGCCCACAGTCACTGCGTCCTGGCTGTTGGCCCCCGGGCCGGGCTTGGACTCTCCAGTCTGTCCCCTCTGGGCCTGGCACCCAGTAGGCGGCTGATACAGTTGTGCAGATGGATGTTCTCTCTGTGGAGCACGAAAGGGCTCCTTCTTTCTTCTTGGAAAGGGCTTGGAAAGGGCTTCAGTAGGCTTTGGTGCCAATTTTGGAAGCTCTAACCCCAGAAGTGGGGAGGAGGCCACCGGACCCTTTGTAGTCAGAAGGAGGAGAGTGCTGTGCTGTGGGGTCTGGCGAGGGCCCGGGGCCTCCCTCCTGCTCTCTGCAGCAGGGCTCTGAGCCTCCCAGGCTGTCTGCTCCCCAGGCTGAGCCCCTCAGGCTGGCCCGCCAGCTCACAGCACCGGGAGCGGGGGCCAGGTTGGGGGGCTGTGGGGAGAAGCCGAAAACCCAGACATGACTTGTGCTCCAGCAGCAGCCTGTCCCGACCCCAGGGCTCCTGTTCAGGATAGCCAGTGTCCAGAGGCAAGGAGGGGAAGTGGCAGTGTCGTTGTCTCTTAGACGCCGTAAGTGTGTTTAGCCACCAGAATATCACTAAGTGTTTTTGCTAAGACCATCTTCCCACTCAAAAAACATATCCTCCTATCCGGGGCGGGGGTGGCCGATGTGTCCTTTCAGACCCTGGCCCTGTGATCCTGCAGCTGGGAGCATGCAGGCCCCGGGCGGGGTGCCGAGCTGGGGTCCCCTGAAAGCTGTCTCTCTCCCTGTAGTGACCTTAGTGTCCCGAGCAACCCCACACGGTCAGCACAGTCACTGTCCAACTACAACCCTTTCGAGGACGAGGACGACACGGGGAGCACCGTCAGTGAGAAGGAGGACGTTAAGGCCAAAAAGTTGGTGAACAAACATTTCCCTCCGGTTTCCACCTTGCTCGCTCTCTGTCTCTCGTCTCTCTCTGTCCAGGCTCCTGCCCCCTTGGCACTCAGAGCAATGCACGAGGCCTGCAGGAGGTGCCCGGCTGCCAGTGTGGACGGCCTCTGGCTCCTCTTTCGCTGGGCGGGGGGGCATCCGTTAATAATCCGTGCTTGCTTCTTTTCTGTACTCTGCTAACCCTCGTCGAGGCCCTCGCGCCACCACCACAGGGAGACAGGTGTGCCGAGGGGCTCCTCTCCTGCCGAAGGAGCCCCCTGCCCGGCCCCAGGGCTCTGCGGCCTACCCTGGCAGGGGTGAGGCTCCAGGCAGGGCCTCGTGCCTCTGTCGGCCCCGTGCTCAGGGCGCCGAGTCAACCCTTCCTTTCTTGCAGCGTGAGCAGCTACGAGAAGACCCAGAGCTACCCCACTGACTGGTCAGATGACGAGTCCAACAACCCGTTCTCGTCCACGGACGCCAACGGGGACTCAAACCCATTTGACGAGGATGCCACCTCGGGGACAGAAGTGCGGGTCCGGGCCCTCTACGACTATGAAGGGCAGGAGCATGATGAGCTGAGCTTCAAGGCTGGTAAGTGGGCTTCCTGGCGGGCATCTGGGGCGGATGCTTCCGACCTGCTAGGGGCTTAGGGTTTAGGGGGTGTCTTTGTTTTTCTAAGTCTGGGAAACTCCTGCAAGTTTCGTTTGCCGGTCCTCCCCGCCACATTTCAAAAGCAGCAGGTGCTCAGTGCCACACGTTAGAAGGCATGAGGTGCCCTGGTGCCTTTGCCTGAGGCGCCACCCCTTGCAGGACCGAGGACCGGGCACAGCGGGGCACTGGGCAGGACATGCTGGTCTCCAGCACCAGCCAGTTTTCCCAGCAGCCCTGGGGGGTCCCCAGGGGAAGCCTTTCTCCAGAGACGCCCCCAGCTGGCAGAGGAGCCCTTAGCCTGGGTCCTGGCCCAGACCCCAGAATAGCACTCGGTGTGCCCCTGGGCCACCTGGAGTCCCGTTTTAGGGTAGTGCCTTTTGAACTTACTCCTGCGGCCACATCGTATGTGTTCTGTCACCAGCACACCTTTGTTGCCAGTAGCGGAAACTTCTGTTTTACAGAACAGTCTGGATCCAGATTACGGGAGCCCTGTGCTGCAGATTTTCTAGCCTTTGTCTTTTATTGTTTTTTTGTTTGTTTGTTTGTTTTTTAATGCTGGTTGCAATTTGCCAAAATGGGTTGCAACCCTCAGTTTGAAAGAGCCTATCTTAGAGCCTTTCAGAGGAGGCCCACAGACGTGGGCCCACAGAGAGCCAAGCTCCTTCCTTCTGCCTTGCTCCCTCCTCACAGACACCCCAGATCCAGCACCTACCCCTCTAGGTGGATGAGCTCAACCAGCGCAGGCTGCAGTGTGCACTGGGACGGACCCCCGTGCCCAGCTTGTGGGGCGGAGGGCCGTGTCGTGTGCTCGGCAGGCCGGCAGCTGGCCCCACAGCCTCGAGCCCGGGGTTGGTCATCAGGTGCCCCTGGCCGCTTGTAGAGAGTCCTTAAGCACCATAACGCATCTCTGCCCAGTTTCTGAGATCTAGTGGTCATTAGCCCCTTACTTCATCTGTTCGTTGATTTTTTTTTTCCTTTTAAGTTTATTTATTTCGAGAGAGAGCGAGAGAGAAAGAGTGAGGTAGAGAGAGAGAGAGAGAGAGAGAGAGAGAGAGAGAGAGAATATCCCAAGCAGGCTCCTTCCTGTCAGTGCAGAGCCCATTGTGGGCCTCGAATTTACAAATAGTGAGATCATGACCTGAGCCAAAATCAAAGTCAGACGCTTAACTGACTGAGCCACCCAGGCACCCCCTCGATTTAATCATTCTTAATTCCTAATTCTTTCTGAGTCCCACCTATTGGATTTGCCAGCTTTTAGATACAAACATTCTCTTCTGCTCTGAGTGAATTGATAAAAGCACACTGACTGAAACCCATGCTTTTAATCACCGATTCATGTTTCACAGCCCGAAAGCTGCCCTCTTCACCGTGTCTGTTTTCTGTGTTAGTTGTAACGTGACGTCTGCCCCCGGCTGCCACTGCTTCCTCTGTCTGTACCTTGTGCTGGCGCTCGCTGCTCCTCGGGGTCTCAGGTGCCCACGGAGCCTCTCCCTGGCGCCCTTGCCACCCCGTGCGAGTGTCACGGAGCTGGCCTCGCCGTGCACCCGCGAGCCTGGCGGCACACAAGGCGGAATGAGGGAAAAGCCAGTTGTAGAAGCGTCGGCCCTGCCAGGAGCCCACAGTGGGGGGCGGGAAGGACAGGAGAAGGTGGAGTTTACCGCTCGCGATGCTCACCTCCGCCCCGTGTTTGCTGCTGATGTTGCCGAGTCAGAGTTGCACAGGGGCCGGTGCTAACAGAGCGGCCCCGGTGCCCATCTTGGGCGCAGCGGCTGCAGGAAAAACCACCCCCACATGGGAGTGACGGCAGCTGCTCAGTGCATATCGGCCACCACCCGGCCCTTCCCCGATCTGACGCTTAATCCTCCCGGCACCCAGTCTGCAGATGAGGAAACCGGGCCCAGGCGCAGGGCGCTTTGCCGGGTCTCCTAGCCGGGCCGACCAGCTCCCACAGGCTCCCCGCTCCCGGGAAGTTCCGGGCTGCGGGTTCCCACGGCGTCTCCGCAAGGTGGCTCCTCGCCCGTCTCCTGGCTCTGGCCCCCTCTGGCCGCCAGGCCTGGACCTTCCCCCACCACGGCCCCGACCCCACCTTTGGTCTTCATCCCCCTGGTCTGACTCCTGGAAGGACCGGGCCTCCCTCTGTCCCCTCTCATGAGTGTATCTCCTCCACTGCCCGGGGCCTGGCTTGAATTCTGGTTCCTCCGTGTCCGAACAGACCAGACGTGCATCAGCCACATTAACACACGCGGCGAATGGCTCTCATTTCACAGTGTTTGGAGGGGGGTTGAGGACAAATGCCCCGAGCTGGGCGCTGGGGACCCAGTGATGGGTCCCTGCCCTTCCCACAGCCTGCTCTGGACACAGATGAAACGAAAGCATGAGGCAGGGCAGTAAGTGCTGGAGGAGATACCAGACCGAGTGGGCCAGGGCCCAGGAGGGAGGACAGCAGGAGAGGGTGGAGGAGGGGTGGTGTGGACCCTCGGAAAGGATTCCTCTGACCTGGCCTGGGACAGTCAGGAAGCACGGGCCTGTGGCATTTAATTCTGCAGTGTCTGTGGGAGCTGCTTGTTTTAGGGTCACTGAGAGATGGCAGCCATGACACCTCTCAGAGGCCCCTGTGGCTGAAAGGACGGCTTCAGATGCAACCTGGTAGAGAAATAACCAGGCCGCAGGCCCTGCTTTGTCCCCCAGAGAATGCCTGCCCCTTCCCCCCAGGTCCGAGACCCCTCCGTGGGCCCAGGGTGGGGGCTGAGCCACAAGGGCGACTCTAACCGGGCGGTCAGCCTGTCACCCACCCGCTCACCAGGACCGCTCCCTTCTTGTCTTGAAGGGGACGAGCTGACCAAGATCGAGGACGAGGATGAGCAGGGCTGGTGCAAGGGACGCTTGGACAACGGACAGGTCGGCCTGTACCCCGCGAATTACGTCGAGGCAATCCAGTGACTGGCCAGCCGGCTGGCTGGCGGAGGGTGGAGGCAGCGGTCCCGGGAGCTCCGTTGGCCGTCGGGCCCGGGCAGCGACACCCCCGGCACCAGCCGGCCGTGTGAGCATCCGCTCCTTTTCCTGCAAAAGCTGACGGTTCCGTTGCTCTTGGCTTCATGGTGTCTCTCGAAGGCGGACGAGCCGGTCCTTTCACCCGGGACTCGGCACCCTTCCCGCACGCGGTGCCGACAGAGAGGTCTGAGCGCAGGAAGCCACAGTAGGACGGAAAGCGCCCCGGCCCCCGGCCCGCCCGCTGTGCGTGCTGTGCTGGCTTTTCACGGATCTGTGTGGTCTCGCCCTCGTCTTTCCTCCTTTCCTCCTCCGAGTCGGCAGTGGCTTCCGCCGATCCTCGCTCTGCCGATGACTTTCTCCGACGAGTCTCCTCGCCCGCAACTCAAGTGGACGCTTCACTCGAGCGAGGACTTTGAGGTCCTTCGTTTAAAGGCTGTGTACAGTGATGCTTTTTTTACATGCCTGTTCTTCCACTCATTTACGCTTAAACGATGGCACAGATTGATATACACCAGTCCTGCGGGGGGGGGGGGGGCTGGTCCCGTGCTGCCCTGCCCGGTAGGTCCTGCCGCGGCTCATCGAGAGGGGCGGGCGGCCTGGGAGGCAAGAGAGAGCGGTGGGAAGGCAGGCCGTGAATGCTGTCCGCGTCGGGGCGTCCTCCATGAGTTTCGGGGATAACCTTACGTCGTACTCCCCACGTCGCCATATTTAAAAGCTGTTTTCATCCTATTTGTGTTTAAGATTCTACTCTTGCCGGTTAATGATTTTGTCAGTGATTTGGAAGGTTAAAAAGTAAGACTAACTTTTCAAGCACACGCATCTGTAGCCGAAGATGCTTTACATCAGACTGTCTTCTCTTGGTGTATATCTGTATATATTATTTGATATTCAGAGAATCTAAAGAGTTCGCCTACTGTTTTAACGAGACGTAACGGCCTTTGACAGTGGGTTTACCTGAACTGCTTGAAGACTGTGACATTCGGGCACAGGCCTGGCCGGTGGGCCAGGCCTCCTCTGGGCTCGGGACGCGGCCCTGGGCCTCTGCAGTGGAGACAGCTGTGGGGAAGCGTGTCCTCGCCGGCCAGCTGTGGGTCCACCTTCTGACTAGCCTTAGTCCTTTCCGTAGCAGAACACTGTACAAACTCCCGTGTCTTTGCGGCAGCCGCAGGGTCCACAGTCCTCCTTTATTCCTCGTGAGTGCACGAAAGCTGGGTCTCACCCCAGAGCACGCGGGTCTCTTCTGAGCAGCCGTGGTCATCGGGAGCAGACGTGCTGGGGCAGGAGCCACACTGTAATGACAGGGCAGGGGAGGGAGGGAAGGAGGGAAAACCTTTATTTTGTGTAACTCAGACATTGTTGGAATGGCCGCCGCCATCACAAGCTATGCATTTTCTCAACGTTTCCAGTGAGCTTGAGGTCTTGCTTGGAAAGTGGGTGTGTGTCTGTTTTGTCATGAAAACTTACCAGCAGAAATCCTCATTCCTTTGCTACAGATCTACCAAAAATTGTCAAGTCTTTTCAGTTAGGAGTTTCTTTAAATGGATAGTATTTTAGGAAAAAAAATCAATAAACAGTTGATCTCGTGAGTGTGACCGTCTCAGAGCCGTGTGTGCCTCACGCTCCCGTCAGTGGTGCGACCGTGTCTCCGTCAGCATTTACCAGCTCTGGAGCTGGGCGAGATCCCAGGCACCGGACTGCTGCCCAAAGGGTTATTATGTCCCCTGCAAAAGAAAGAGGTTGGGGATTTGAGGCACCTGAACCCCTCAGGGTTTTCCCCAAAACCCGCCACGCTGTGGCCTGGGCTTCCCCGGTGTAGACAGGCTGGCTGGACCCAGATGAGCGACCGTCCGTCACCTGGGCTGCTGTGAACACACTTCCTGGGCCCTGTGCTCTGCTCATACGGTGCCTGCAGATAACATGCCCCTCTCCGGACGTCCCGCGAGTGGGATGAGGCTCCCCGTTGCATTTTGCAGCGGACACGGAGGCTCCTAGAGTCATGGTTACCAAAGGAGTCCCAGCTGGCCTGTGGCACTAAAATCCCTGTGGGGCCCTCCACCCTCCCTGGGGTGGCCTGAGTCGAAAGGGCAAGGCGAGAAAGAGCTGCCAGGGCTGCCACAGCCCCATACACCGAACCCTGGTAAGGCTCGTCCAGAAACGCGCCCGTTCTGGGCACTGGGCCCTCGGAGTCGGAGGAGCGAGGCGGGCGCCTGCTGCCGCAGCCCCGCTCTGCGCAGCTCAGGAAGGCGGAGACCAAGCCTCGTCACCCGATGGGCGATGGGGCCCCTGCTCTCCGCTCATGAGGAGTTGGAGCCCACCGGAGCTGCCCCCTGGCTGCTGCAGAGACGCGAGGTAGGACAGGGCGGAAGGGAGGGGTCGGAGCAGGCTCCCGTCCCGAGGCCCGAGCCGGCCAGTCCTGGGCACGTGGTGAGCTCGCGTCATGACAGCCTCAGGGGAGGCTGGAGTCCCCCTGCTTTGCATAAGAGGACACGGAAGGTCTGGAAACTCAAGTTCTGCGACTTGCCTGAGGTCCCGTGACAGAACTGCAGGGTTCTCGAGGGCAGGCCCTTCCTCGCAGCCCCCACTGGCGGCTAAAGAGCAGGGGGTGAACAGGGGGAACCCTCAGAAGTCAGGATGAAACCCCCTCTGCTCAGCCAGGCCCTGTTCGCAGCCTGTCCTCTCAGAGCTCCTGCAAGAGATCCTGAAGGGCCCTCCCTGCCCACCTGCCCCCTCCCGTCCTGGCCCTCAGGGAATCCCAACCCACCCCTCGCTTGCCCAGGCCAAAGTGGTGCCCGCCTTCCTGTTGGAGGGTTAGAGGCAGGCGTGCAAGGCCCCGGGGGCCCAGGAGGTGGTAGCTGTTACTGTGGTGATGAGTGACACCCCCCCTCCCCCCGGTCCCCAGCCAGAACCTTCTGGCATCCTTGACTGCCCCTCCCACACCTTCTGTGCTGGGCCACCGAGTCCTCTTCGTCCCTCTGTCCTTCCCCCTCCATAGCAACCGCCGGGGTCCCAGCTGCCTCATCTCCGGGATCACTACTGCACGCACACCACCTTCACGGGGCCCTGGGACCCTCTGCTGCCTGCCCGGTCCCTTCCCCTCAGCAGAGGGTGGGCAAGGGTATTTCAGCTCCCGTCCAAGCCCCAGGGAATGCCCCGAGGGCCAGCAAGCCCTGGCTGAGTGACCCAGGCAGAGATCCGCTCTGCAGCAGCTTGAGCTAAAACACTAGGTTTTCCGAGTTCCGAGCGGGCCCGTGTCCTGGGCTTCGCGGCAGGACCCTCTACCACCCTTTACGTGCCTGGTCTGGTGTTTGCTGGGTGACCTGTGGGCTTGGGCTGTGACTGGGGGCAGACTTGGAGGCGGCTGCCTACAACGCGTCAGCATACTGATGGGGGAGGTTGGGGAGGGTCCCTGTGGGCCACGGGACCACCCCCCTACTTGTTCACGGGGAAACGGGCCACGTCAGGGGCAGGAGTGAAATTCCCGCGGTCGCAGAGTGAATGGTTTGGGGGCACTGAGCGGCGCCTGACCCTGAGTAGCCCCTCCTGGCGGGGAGTCAGCTGGCCCTCTGCCTGGGTGATATTCACTCACCGAGCATTTCTTGAGCACCTACTGTATGCAAGGCTAAGCGGTGCCAGGACAGAAGCGAGGAAGGACACAAGTTTGCCTCGAGGGGACTCCAGAAGCTCAGGGAGGAACCGAGTCATTCTGACACCCGGGAGGAGGGGGTGCCTAGTGGACTCTGGAGGCCACCCTATAAGTCTCAGGAAATTCAGACAAACGGCCCCAACCCAGCTCCAAGGCTCTTGGGGGCACAGTACTTGGGGTCCTTGAGCTGTTGCCCCCACTTCCGGTGGGAAGCATCCCTTGCCTGGCAAGATGGCGGATGGACTGCAGACTGACCGGGGAGGACCCCCACCCCTGTGCGGCCTGAAGCCCGAGCAAGTGCCTGAACCTCAGAGCCTCGCTCTCCATAAAATGGGAATGATCTAGGGGGGGTGTCCGGAAGCAGGAGACCTTGCTGGACCGGTGCCTTGCCCGCTGCGTCCCTTCCCCAGACACCTGCAGGAGGTGTGTGCCCCTCTCTGGACTCTGTTTTCCCTTAGAAGGCCAGGCATCGACTTCCGGGCTGGACCTCTGTGGTCTCTGGTGGGAGTGAGCAGCAGGGCCCAGGCCACAGCGCCCAGGACACAGATGTGGGCCACTGGTGGAGGGATCTGGGGCTGGGATAGAGGCGCTCCGCTGCCCCAGGGAGGACAGACCCAGGCCAGACGGAATCTGGCAGGCTTGCTGTTGAGGCACAAGGTCATCCTGCACCAGGTGGGGCCACTGCCAAGCACAGAGTTCGAGGAGCCAGGCTGAGCCCGCACGGGCAGGGGACAGGCAGTTTCTCAGCCCACTGTTTCCATCCAGCCTTGGGCTTAACATTTATCAGCTACACGTCGGGTCCAGTCCTGAGCACCTTTCTCGGCAAAGGGTCATACAAACCTCCTCGTTATGTCTGAGCGCCATTTTGCAGATGAGGAAACAAACCAGAGAGGCTGACTGACTTGCATGAGGCCACACAGCAGGTTAGGGGCAGAGCTGGGGTTTCAACTCCAGTGCCTAACTCCAAAAAGCAGGTGCTATCGAACCCCTGGAGGACTCGTTACAACCCAGCTTCCTGGACCACGTCCCAGAGTTTCTGAGTCACGAGGTTGGGGGTGGGGTCCAGATTTTGCCTATCTAGCAAGTCCCACGGTGCTGATCCAGGACCACACTTTGAGAACCGCTGGTCCAACCAGCAAGTCAGAGCCGCCAAAAGTACCAGCGATTCCATGTATTCCTTGATTTGTTCATATGACCAGCGGATGCGTCTAACCCAGCTCCGGGGCGTGGAAGCTGAGCTCTGGGGACCCAGAGACTGATAGACCACGGTCTGGCCCAAGGAGGTGGGGAAAATGTGTCCAAAGAGAGCCCAGGGAGCAAGGGACACAGACCAATGTGACATCCCATCCCTGGCTATTCCCATGATTCCCATGCAAGGGGCAGGGGAAGGTTAAGGGGAAGCCACCGGGCAGAGGGAGAGCTGTCCCACCAGGGTCAGATGGGCACCTCGTGTCAACCAATGAGCTTCAAGTCCTCAGGTAAGCCCCTCCCCCTCATCTGGAAAATGGGGAACCGGTTCCTACCTTCTCTTTTTCATGATCATGCCGGGCTAGAGTACGACCCTGCTTGACAAACACACAAATCTGGGGAACACTGTTGCGGAGGCAGTCTAGCCCCGAATGTCATCCCGACTCAAGCCGATAATTGCCAAGGTAAGCAGATCTCAGATGGAGAGTCCAATTCCTCCCCGACCAGTCGCTGGGCATGTGTCCTTCCTCCAGACCCCGTGTGTTCATCCATGTATGAAACTGTATGCAAGGAGGCTGGGTTTTTTCTGCACCAAAATCTGAGAAAAGATTTTTGTTTCCCTGAAACTTAACAACAGTCTTACAAAGGCATAAAAATGAAGCTAGTGGTTAAAAGCGTGGACTATGAGGGGCGCCTGGGTGGCTCAGTCGGTTGAGCGTCCGACTTCGGCTCAGGTCATGATCTCACGATCCGTGAGTTCGAGCCCCGCGTCGGGCTCTGTGGGGACGGTTCGGAGCCTGGAGCCTGCTTGGGATTCTGTGTCTCCTTCTCTCTCTGCCCCTTCCCTGCTTGGGATTCTGTGTCTCCTTCTCTCTCTGCCCCTTCCCTGCTCTCTCTCTGTCTCTCAGAAAATAATAAATAAACATTACAAAGTAAAAAAAAAAAAAAAAAAAAAGCATGGACCATGAGGTAACAGTCCTTGTGCTCAGACTTGGTCCAACTGTGTGACCTTAATGAGCTACGTGAGCTTGATTGAAATACTTTGTCTCTCTAAGCCTTGGTTTGCTCATTGATAAAATGGGAACAATAGTGGTTCACATTTGTATTTCACTCTGTGCCAGACCCTGTTCTAACCTCTTCAGCGTCTGTTAACTTCCTGAATTCTACAGCAGCCCCATGAACTACGTGCATGAGATCATTCCTAGTTTTACAGGTAAGGAGCTGGAGGCACAGAGAGGTTGGGGGAACTTGCCCAACGGGCCACAGCTGCCACCCGGCCAGGCGGGCGTTCAGACGCGGGGGGGTGCAGTACAAGCCATGCCCGCTAGGCTGTGCTGTTGGACTGTGAGGGCGAGGAGGTGCCCGCCCCCGCCCCCCTGGCGGCGCTCAGCAATGGACACGTCCGGGACCCAGTTCCCCAGCAGATCGCTGCCTGACCGAAAGGCCCTCCCCTGTGCTCTGGAGCACCCCACCTCACTGTCACTGCGGGCAGGAAGAGCAAGCCGCTTGGTGTGGGGACTGAGCCTTCCTATCTCCAGCCCCGGAGCTTGTCTCTAGCGCTCTGGCGCTCGCGGAGCTAACCTGAAAAGATGAGATGACATCCATTCTGGACCATCCAGTGAAATTCAGGTTCTAGTGTTTTCGACCTCTTCGAATCCTTTGTGGAAAGGACTGGGAAATGAAGGAAAGGAGGAACGTGATTAGGGAGCGTGGGGCAAGCTCCCTGATCACAAAGTACAGGCTAACAGCGCCCCCA